AGTACCCACAATGCTGTGGATAAAAGCCATTTATTTCTAGAAGTCTCAAAAACCTCTGGAATCACCAACTTCACCTGTTAACAAAGATTGATTCATTAGTAATGAAGTTTTCAATTGGTTCCATATGTCAAGAAGATAATCCAGGAGTAAAACTTGTCTGTTGGTACCAAAGTCCTTGATAGGGTTAAGCAGCTGTGTTTTACTGTCCTCCGGGTCATAGATGGAAAACTCTACTAATGTGATCTAAGCTTGAACACTCACGGTCTGCCTTGCTTGCATTCATGTAGCTGTCCGCCAGTGGTCCCATCGCTAAATGTCGCCTAAGAAGACAAAAGGTTTAATCAGCATAACAGGAGAACTAAATCAGCAATTCTTACAAAGGAGGGTTTCAGGAGACACCCACACTTACTCCTCTCTGCTGCAGGGAGTGGAGTGGGGTGGCCTTTTCAACCACAGGAGGGAGAACCGAATAGCTGGGGCAAATGGTTCAGCTTCCTTGGTCTGGACCTGTGACAGAAAGCCTTCACGGTCGGTTGCTTACCCCTGGGAGTGTTCATCTCTGTGGGGCTGGTGCGTGGGACATCTGTCCACACTGAGACCACAGGCTCCTGTGGCAGCAACCAGGGTCAAGCTCATGACCCTGAAAACATGAGGGGTCCCAACCTGAAGGAGTCCCATGCTCTCTTACAGATGACCAAACAGAACTGGGGCCTCGGAGACAACCTGGGCCTGGAGTGGACCTCATGCGTGATGGCTGGACTTTGAAGGCCATTGCCATTTATGGGTCTCGTGACCTTGGGCAAGTGACACTCCCTGTTATTCTGTAAAGATTTAGGTGAACTGTAGTGATTACCATTTCCTTAGATGGTGAGTAGCTCCAGGGAAGTGAGCCCTCTGTGCCTGTGGTCAGCCAGACCCCTATACGTGACAAGGGGTGACAGTGTCCCTGTTCTTCACCAGGATTAGAATTAAACAGTTGCTCTACATAGATGGGATTTGCCTACCTGACTTCTGTTCACGCTTTCAGGATCCGCCAAGATGTGCCCACTTTCTCGCACAGTTTCTGGCCTGCTACCCTGGGAGGATTAGCCTTTTCGTCTCCTGGCTCCTGTGGACATTTTGCCGCCCACCCCACTCCAGTAGCTCTACACTGTATGTTAGCATTTGTCCCCGTGTCTAACTGACACTGCTGATGCTGTCCTTTAAGCTTTTTACAGAAAAAGCCCCCATTGTCACATTTTCCCTGAATCTTTCCCATCCGTGCCCTTTTGTCCATTTTTATGGCGCAGACATCTGATCCAGGGGGGATGTCACCTCCAGTAAGTAGGCAACAGGCCCAAAGTGTTCATGTCTCCATAAAGCTGAGATTCTTTCTGCTCTCCTACAACTAAATTCTGCCTCAGGCTACCCTTACATACAAATCTGGTTGCAAACTCTCTCTCGAATTTATTGGTCCCTCAGCAGACTTCTTCCTGGCAATACTGGGCCACAGCTCTAGGAGTGAATGCTAACAGCTCCAATGAGCATTTCCTCCAAGGAGCTCTAAGCTCCCTGGACACCAGTGTCACTCGCCTGGCATCGTGATCGGAGACCTCTTTACCATCAGGCCAAGTGGTGTCTCAGCCACAACAAGACCACAGGGCTCCTGTGGCAGGAACCAGGGTCAGGCTCATCCTGTGGTTCTTTAAGCAACATTCCTGAGCTTCTAGCAGCGGCGGGCATGGAGGTGGGGATACAGAGGGGGACTCTGCACTGTGTCTGGGCAGTGTAGCCCAAAGTCCAGCAGGACCTCTGCCCTCTTTAGCTCCTGGTCATAGGGACACCAGTGAAGATTACTCAGCACCCAGGGAGTATGCCAGGCAGGGTGGGAGGATTGAGCAGGGGTGAGTGACTGCCACACAGAGGCCTGTGTTTAAGAGGAAGATAGTCCAGGGGCGCCTGGGTGGCTCAGTCGGTTGAGCATCTGACTTCGGCTCAGGTCATGATCTCACAGTTCGTGGGTTCAAGCCCTGTGTCGGGCTCTGTGCTGACAGCTCGGGGCCTGGAGCCTGCTTCGGATTCTGTGTCTCCCTCTCTCTCTCTCCTCCCCTGCTCATGCTCTGTCTCTCTCTCTCTCCTTCAAAAATAAATAAAAACATTTT